AATTGTATTATAAAAGTAACATAAATTAAGAGTCTACAAGAATTAAGATATTTCTGTGTACTTCTATATGATTTACGAATAATTGTAAAATTGTTTGTTGTTTTAAATAAAATAAATAAATTAAAAGTAAAAATATATAAAAGTACCCGTAACCGGCGAGCATGTATGAAAAGATTGATGAATGTGGAAGAAGCGAAAGAGGTTTGTTTGAATCGAAGCATTTGGCGTTCCATTGTTTCTGCCTATCCTAATGAGAGACAGGCGTGACAGATATGTATGTATGTATGTAAAAATATATAGTGTTACATATTATAGGTAAGTATAATATATTGAAATAATTCTTCAAGTGCTTGCCTATGTTATATACAATATAAATTAACTTATATACTAATAAATAAGTTGGGCTATTTTGTTTAATACGAACTACCACTACTACTACTACTACTGCTAGCGATATACTCTATTAAGTCAACCTCCACGTGGTTCCCCCTGGAAACTATCGTACTGAAATCTAGGTGTATTCGTCAGAATGGGCTAACTGACCTGCCTTTTCATTCTCATTTACTGTCCTTCACTAGTGCCCCGAAAGCGTATGGACCCCCATACGCTTTCGGGGCACTTATTCTATTATCATCCATAAATAAAACATGGTGAGAAATGCGTGTTGAGAAATAATGTTACCTAGTGACTGCCCTTCAGACCGTAACATATCAATGTACATATCTGCTTAATGTTTGCATATAACAAATTGATAAGATTACACAAAACGATTTAATTAAAATTAACTAGCTATCCGACAGAGGCTTCTCTGTCAATTGTTTGAATTAGCAGCTAGAAACAGTATGTATGGGTAGGCAACGATTATAGTTAATGATTAATAGAGCAGACCATAGGGTCCGTATTTAATAATGGGAGCAGAATTAAACAAAAACAAAAGATTAAACAAAATAATCCCCGCCATTGTCCACGTTATTCGAAATGTAGCGCGTAATATGTTGTTCAAATACGTAACCTACACGTTGTTTATCAATTTATTATCAAAATAATCATCACCATCATCATCACCACCACCATCATCACCAATATTTCAGCCATTATCTGTCCAAGAAAGATTAAACTGTCCATTGAAAGTTTATATAGGCTATTTAATATCACGGACAAAGCCGCGGAAAACTATTATCTTATTTTCATCATCATCATCATCATTTCAGCCATTATCCGTCCACTGCTAGATATAATAATCCCATATAGATTACCATAGATAATGGTCTTGAGCCACCTGCATCCACTGATTCCGTGCAATGCATTTGAGGTCGTCACTTTATCTAATGGGAGGTCGTTCCACACTGTATTTGCCAGTATGGGGTCGCCACTTAGGAACCTTTCTTTCCTATTGAACGTATGTATGTATATTCTTACTTACATGTAAGAATGTATATTTGTACATACAATTGGTCATTTTACGCGTCAATCGTTATTTAGCAGATCAAAATACATCATCGTGCGTATCTGTTCAATAATTACTTGTCACAAATAGATAAGACGATGGTCTCTATCCAGGCGAATAATGCAAAACAATTACATTTTAATAGTATTAAATTTAACATTACAAATTTAAACTAAGAAGTTAGAGTTAAACCGCAAAATTGTAGAGTTGTTCATTTGGAAAGTTGAGGAGTTGGCGTAGGTATTAAAGTTATAACTTCTGTTATGTTTATTGTTACCTGCATCATATCATGGAGATATGATTTCACGACTAAATTTTGTATATAATGAATTACTTATAAATAAATTCAATAGGTATACCTAATATGACAAAATGAACATTGAAACTTTCATAAATATGAAGTTACATAGATGGAAAATGTACTTAATGTGTCAATTTTCGGCTTTGTTGCGAATCAAAGACTTACTTCTATAAATATACTATTCCATTTTATAAATTTCGCACACACATAAGCATGCACGCACACATGCACACAATTTACAATGAAGTTTAGTTATTTAGTTATCAGTATGCTAGAAAGCTAGCTGCTTTTTGCACATACCTGCTTGCACTTTCACATAGTCTATTTACAGAATACATGCTTTACGCTTACGTGTAAATAAATTAATGATCCAACCCGGATTATTATTTCAGCCGTTAACTGTCCACTGCTGGACACATAAGGGAAGTTTTGCCAGTAGTTGCCACGCTTGGCAGGCGGGTTGGCAACCGCAGTTAAGCTTTTAGAGATATTTTAAAAGGGACGCTGCTGCCTACCCCTCGCTCTCCCTTAGTCGCCTCTTACAACACCTACGGGAAAGGACAGGGCGGTCCATTCTATGCCGGGGCACACACGGCGGATGCAGTTTATTTAAAAACATGTATACAGAATTTTATTAGGGTGTCTTGTGTATATGAATATTGCAGTGAATTTCGTATCAAAGTTCACTGCACGGTTTAAAGGAAGTACGCAGACAGCAGTTAAACAAATGCAGCGAGCGACTTTGACTTATTTATTATTTGAAGATAATAAAACCAATTCATTAATTCATAACTGTTACAAGTAGGATTACCATAGTTTTCGAAATTTCTCTGTCAAATAAGTTTAGTTATTCAAAGCTCGACAGACTTGGAATCTATTTAGGACAATTAAATTATATTGTTATGGAATTCCTTAAACGTTTCATGGCGAAGGATACTTACTGGATAGTTGCTTACAATTATATTGGCTCCAACTTAATAAATACTAGGTTCCCGCCTTTATACTCAAATTTTAAATCCTTTGTTAATCCTAATTAATCAAATGTCTAGTTCATGTCATGAAATCTTGTTATAATTAGTTAAAAGTTAAGAGGTTAGTTTAGGAGGTTAAAAAGGTTACGAGTTATAAAATGTGTACTAAGTATATACTTATATTGTATTACATACGTTGTATTTGTCATACTAGATACTACTTGTGAATAGATAATAGCTACCCACCTACTCAAGCTTTGGTGACGTAAAATAAGGGATGTCGCTGCCCAATCCTCAAACATTAAATTCCCTTAGTCGCCTCTTACGACAATTATGAAAAACGAAGGGGTGGTCCATTCTATGCCGGGCCACATGGCATATTTGTAATATTAATACGGATTAATTTTAAGAAAGTAGAAAGATTAATTTTGTAGCAATACTATTTGTGTACATAATGGAGTATAATATATATAATATACATAAATAAAATAAAGATACCTTTAAAATAGAAAACACAAAACAATAACATATAATTTAATATTGTTTTCCACTAAAAAAATCGACTATAATTGTAGCAAAACCAGTTATTATTATTTAAAAATCATAATTTCTAAACAGATTTTGATAAAATTTCTGTGATATTAATCTGAAAATATATTTATTATTTCAGATTAATATTATAGAATTGTTTTTTTTAGATAAAAAATACATATTTTTTAAATCTTTTTATAAGTGGAGTTATGAGGTAACAAACATAAAAAAAACCGAATCGAGAAATTTCTTCTTTTTTAAAGTTGGATAAAAAGGAAAATCTAGGTACGTTTAATGGGACTCTTGTTGATTTCTTATTAATTCTTCTTGACTGTTGTCTCTATATATATATATATATATATATATATATATATATATATATATATATATATATATATATATATATATATATATATATATATATATATATATCTTCATCTATGTGTCTATGTTAGATGATATAATAATTCATAGACAATAATATATAGTGTTAGCCGTGTGGTCCCGGCATAGAACAGGCTGCCCCTTTCTTTCCCGTGGGTGTCGTTAGAGGCGACTAAGGGAGGACTAGGGATGGGCAGCAGCGTCCCTCTTAAAACATCTCTAAAACCTAAATGCTAACCCGCTTGCCAAGCATGGCAACTACTGGACAGTTAAAAGCTGATACTGTGTTTGTCTGTTTTTCCGCTAAACTCTTTTAAACCGAACCACGGTTCTTGATACAGGTTTCACTGTTATTTAAATATTTTTACAGAAGGTTTGCACGTACAATACATCCTAATTTGCAGCCGCGGGAAGTCGGGCCGGGTCGCTATATTTTTATAAAAATATACACTTAAATTTTATTATTTTCTACTATTTCGACTATTAGGGTAACATTTAATATTTTTAGGAACGCATTTGTGTTCAAGAATTTAAGTAATTCATTAAATAATTAAGATAGTGACTTATTTATTTTAAAAAATACTTTAGTTTGTTTTTCGTTTTAAATAAGTTATTTAATTTTCGATAACACAGAAATAAATTATATAACATAGCACTCGAGGATTCCTAGTAACAAAAAAAAAAAAGAAATCTGTAAAATGTCTCAGCAACAAGACAACATTAATATTGAAATATATTTCAAAGAGATTCGACTACATTTTATCTCAAATTGTACTTTTCTATTGCAAGACGGAAGTCTGTTCATCCTCTTGTACCTCGCTATAAATTAATTTGGCATAAAAAAATAGCAAAATATTGATGTTTTCTTCAGGTGAGTTCTTTTATCAATTGAATGGAGTTAAATTTTTCAATAATTTATAAAACTTAAGGAAAACTGACAATCTTTGAAGTAGGGACAAGTGTAGTGGCTATTTGCGACTAATTGGAGCGCCGACTAGGGTATCGCGAAATAGCTGGGAACAAAGGGTAGCTTGTCGAGTTTGCAAATTTTTATATCATTTAAAAAAATCAGTTTTTTGACTCGTTTATTAAGTTTATATTTATAGTAGCGACAGGTGATAATGTCGGTGTTGGTAAAGGACATTTCAGTAGATGACAATGAGGACGAAAATTAATTAATTAAAAAAACTCTTATTATTACTATAAAATTACAAAAAAGAAGTCTTAATTAAGAAGAAAATAACTGGCATTAAATTTTCAAAATTTCAAAAAAAGAATGTCACGATGCCAGTTTCTGCGCGCTACGCGTGCGTAGCTCCGCCTACACATCCCGCCCAAACGCTGGCTATAAATGCTGCCAGCAACAAGCTGATAGTCCACTCGAACTTGTTGCATTTTCGCGCTCTCCGGCTTTCCAAGTTTGAAAAGTTTTAACTTTCGAATTTTTTGCTGCACAGAAAAAATATCTGTAACAAGGTAAGTCTCAAAATAGGTAATGTTTCGTTCTGTACGTATCGTTATTATTATAATTTTTTTAATTTTAATTTACTTTTTTGACTTCAAAATAAGTACTTTCTAATTTTTGAGCGTTTAATTAAAATTATCTGTAGAAATTGAGAAAAAAGTATTTTGAAAAGGAACTTATTGTTTTTTAAATAAAAAAAGGTTACAGTATAGATATTGTCCATTAATCCTATTTTAACTATTCTGAATGACAACTAAGAATATTTTATTTTTAAAATATGAAGAATTCTTGAGTGACTCAACTAATTTATAATTTTTATGATATATAATTATGATGTTAAAAATTTATACAGAATCTTTATCCGGAAAAAATAATAGTTAATTATTTACTTCATGTTTTTAAAAGAAAAAAAAAAGTCGTTTCTGTTATTAATAATATCAGAACAGGACGATCTTGAACTTTGAATTAAATAAAGAATAACATATCTATAGGCGACGGTTACCACTTTCCACCAGGTGGGCCGTCAGCTTGTTTGCCATTCTAAGTCGTATAAAAAAAAAACGCGGACTTCTTTTTTAATATTAAAAATATAGCAGTCGACTTTGTTTTCTATTTTTCATAGTTGATACGAGTATTGAAATTATTTTGTTGAATTAAAAAAATATTGATTTGTTTTTAATATATGTAAATGAGTATAATTTTATTTGTTATTACGTTATATCTAATAATATTTCCATAAAATTAATTTAAAATCTGAAAAATATTAGACAGAAATATAGTCATGATTGTAGTTAAAACTTATTTATCAAAGGTTTCTCTTCTTACAGAGATAAAAATGAAGGTTTTATTTTCAGAATAGAAATTAGTAAATGAATTCTGATGTAATGATATCCAATCCCATATGTTACGTATTATTAAATTTATGACTGACTTTAAGAATTTGATATTAAAATAAATGCACTTTTTTACATGAGTAAGTAATAAGTAGATCGTATCAGTTACATAAAAATAAATATTAATTTAGGTATAGAATTAGTACAGATATCGCTGAATACATCACATAAATGCAATACTGAAATTGATGTTACTTACCACTTTGGATTTGCTGGAAGAGAACTCTTTTAGAGTTAAGCTCGCCTTTGTACATTTGATTATCTCTGTCATATTTTTACGAATAATTAGTGTGTACAATAAAGTATTAAAATAAAATAAAACAAATAAATATAAAACAAAGTGCAAATTGAGAACCTCCATCTTATTTATTTATTTTCTTTCTTCTTATTTCTTTTCTGTGCTGGTTTTTTTAACAGTTTAAATCTTACTAATATAATAAAATTGTACTTGGACTATGTCCATAGATGAAGAATTATTAAAAAAAAAATACGTAAGAAGTTTTAATAGGAGCAATAGAAGCCAGAACAATAAATTTTAGATATTTTATCTACCTATCTAATGCCCGTCTTTGTTTTTTCCGGTACCACGTAAAAACTATTGCATCAAATTAAATGTAGTTTTACTGTAGTGTTTCTGAAGTTCTAACATAAAAACTGGTAAACTTTTATTTTGATATGCAATCTAGGTTTATTTAATTGATTTTCTACGCGTGCAAAGTAGTAGGAAAAAGTAGTATAATATAATAATAAAACTTCCTTACTGAAGTCGTTTAAAAATACGAACTCACTCTTTAAGCGGGGTGTTATTCCTTCATTCATTTGTAGCGCTTGAGTAGGATATCAAGTTACTTACGAGGAAGTCTGAAAGTTGCGCCCGTAAAGTTAGTAGTTGCTAAGTTTTTTTATGAAACTTAGAGTAGCAAACAAGCTGATGGCTCAACTGGTAGAAAGTGGTAACCGTCGCCTATAGACATGGATATTTTGAGATGTCCGTGATAAGCTATTTTTGAGGTCTGATGTTACGCTTCTGTATCCTATAGCATATAGAGACCATAGACTTAGTAGGTATAATGTACAAAGAGACAATACATTAGATCGGGGGGAAGGGATTGTTAGTAAGGCAGACTACTGGTCCCATTGCTAGCAATATACCTTATCAAGTCGACATCCACGCGGATTTCTCTGGAAACCATTACACTAAATTCCAGGTGTACTCGTATTCATCCTGATGGGCTAGCGGACTTGCTCTTTCATTCTCTGTTGTATGCTTTATCTTGATATGTTATCAAAAAGTGGTATATTTTACTGGTTAAATTACGTTTGAAATGAGGATAAATATGTAAGAGAAGGGGACGATTAAAGAAACAGTAGATCCCTTGTGTGAAAGATGATATTAAAAGAAAATTGAGTCAAATATGACGGCTAATAGGGTTCAGTAGAAGAGGCAAGTTATAAATGGAATAAAGGCAAGAACATAGTTTTGATAATGCTAGTAAGCTAGCCACTGTACATTTGTTTTCTATTGTCATATTTCTTTATGTGTTATGTGTATGTATAATATAATAATAATTGTATATAAAATAATGATCAAATATCAAGTTGGTATAATTTTTTTATATATAACTTAGAATGGCAAACAAGCTGACGGCCCACCTGATGGAAAGTGGTAACCGTCGCCTATAGACATGAGCAATACCATGGACATAACAGAGTATACTGTTTCGCCCATGATACCCCCATATGCGTTGCGATTCCTGAGGACTCAGATGTTATTCCTCTGTACCCTGTAAATTTACACCATATCCCACCCTTCAAACCGAAACACAGCCATGCAAACAAAACTCCTTCACGGTAGAAACACTAATGGGACAGAGGTACCCAAGCAATCGACTTTTGTACAAAGTCTCCCTCTGGTAAATTAATTAATAAATCTGATTAATTTCTTTGCTTTGATAAAATTTAAAAAAATTCGCATGCAATATTAGGTATCGTAGCTTTCAATGAAATAAAACAGTTTCAGCGTATTTTATAGAGATGTCTCAAAATAGTAGCTTGGTAGCCTAGTACTCGATTATGACGAAGGAACTCGTTTTTAAATAATTAACATATTACACTAAATCGTGTGTAATATCTCCAAATATTAGTCATATAGTACAGAAAAAAACTAATTAAATAAAATACTTTCACAATTTTATTTTTATATTTAATTTATTTCATCTCTTTATGTTTTGTATTATATAAATATGATTAGCTACATCTAAGATTTCATGAAAAAATTACGTTTTTCAATATCAATATTTTACCAATAATACCTTTATCAAATTATGCGGAGTACAAGGGAAAGTAATGGATTACTATAAAATTAGATAAATTATATTTGTTGGTTCTAAATTGTCTGGTGTAATCTAGGAAAGTGACTCTATCTTCTTATATTCATGTTTTGTTCTTTACGGGATAGGCAGTAAGATAATAGATAGATAGATAGATACTCTTTATTATTTCCTCCAAAAGATTACAATAGTAAACTTATTATAAATATAAACAATTATAAGAAATAATCACAATGAGAAATAAAAATAATTGGCGACCTTATCGCTAAAAGCGATCTCTTCCAGGCAACCTTTGGATGGAGAGAAGTAATTATAATAAAGAGTTTGATCGGAGGCACAATCAAATTCTATTATTTCTTGATAGAGAGATATAATACATGTAATAATGTAAAATATATATCCCTACTCAATAGATAATATTATTATAAAAATCTTTATTTATTAAGTACTAGCTTTTACCCGTGAATTTGTTCACGTGATCGAAATATATTAACTGATCGAGATAAAAAGTATAAAGCCTGTATCGTTCTTTATTCCATATAGTACATGTATATCAATTTTTACAGCGACTGGTTAAGCTATTAAGGCGCTATAGGGTAACAAGAAGACAAACTTACTTTCACATCTTTAACATTAATAAGGATTAACTATTTTTTAAGCAGTTACTGTAGCCTAGGAACGCTTGCAATACCAGGGAATTACGCGCGCGTTGCCGACCTTGAAGAAACCTCTTTACCCCTTTTGTAAAGAACGCTATTCTGTAGTCCATTGGAAAAACTCTCATTCCATAATCTGAGCGTTCGTAGGAGGAAATATATCTGAAGCCACGCTATACGCGGCCAACTAGGCTCTAAGGTAGGAGGTGAACTCCTTATCGATAGCGAGCTCTGCGATAGTAGAAACTACCTTCAGAGATTTAAAATTTCGAGTTTAGGTTCCTTTTATGACGTTAAAATTTATACTAAAAAAGTATTTCATGAAATTAGTATAAACATTGTTATAAGTGTTTTTTTTTCTTTCTTCTCTACTAAAACGTCTAAAAGAATATAAAAGATATTGCTTGAGCAGTTAAACTAGCTTTTGTACTACTATATCTAATATATAAATTGTAACACGCGGGTAAAACTATCGTCAACAGTTAGTTTATTTCACATAATTATAATCGGTTTTACATTTCCATATTTAGATCAATGTAATTATCGTGCGTAATACAATAGATGTAAATTACATAGCTTTCTAATTAAACTAATTCCGTCTTAAACAGTAATGCATCTTCGTAAAGGAACTACACTTATATTATAATCATGTTATTAAAGCAAATTGCAATTTGTAACGAGTTCTCAGATTACCTTTAAGATTAGACACACTAATCACCAAGGTACCCGTATAAATATAATGTTTTGTTATAAAGTCCTTAAAATTTAGGCTTCAAATTGCTGATGTTGGCATTTGTTGGTAACCTTAAATGCCTAAGTACTTTAGTTATTTAGTTGATATAACGAGTTATGTAATATATGTTAAACGGTGTCTGGTTTAGAATTCTGCGTTTTGGTACCAATATAATTTAAGGTTCAGATTAGACGTTCATTCAACTAATACTAAATCAATTGGCTGAACATGTAAAACAATTTAAATGACAAATTTACTCTCTGTTTGAACGTTATTAAAATTTTCGATATTAATTTTGAATATTATTATTATTATTTGTTATTTTATTATTATTTGTTATTTTATTATTATTTGTTATTTTATTATAATTTGTTATTTTATTATTATATTCTTATAGAC